TCAAGGGTTAAGATCCCCTTACCGGTCATCTTTTAAAAAAAATAAATAAATAAATAAAAAATAAAAAAAATAAAAAATCCTTACCAGTCATCTTTTTTAAAAAAAAAAAAAAGAAAAGAAAAAGAAGATTTTTAAACCTCGGGGACCCCCCAAGGCATACCCCTTGCTCCCCAGCTCCCCACTACGCTGCTGTTGCTGTTCTGCCTCAGAGCCTTTGGCCATGCTGTTCCCTCTACCTGGAACCTTCTTCCCACCCTGTCCAGCTCTCTCTACTAACTTGTGAGGTCCCCAAAGGCAGGGACTTAATCCCTCTTAACAGAAGGCCAAACACGGGCCAGCCTGTGGCTCACCTGGGAGAGTGTGGTGCTGATAGCACCAAGGCCACGGGTTCGAATCCTATGTAGGGATGGCCAGTTAGCTAACTGAGCGTGGTGCTGGCAACACCAGGTCAAGGGTTATGATCCCCTTACCGGTCATCTTTTTAAAAAATAAATAAATAAATAAGAAAATCTCTCTCCAAAGAGGCGGCTCAAGCAAGAAGGATAACTTCAGTTTATCGCCTTTAGAAGGCTGGTGATGGACAGGACGGGGCGGAGGCGATGAAAGTGCACATTTTGCTGACGAGGACACCGAGGCCCGGAGAGATCCGTCATCCGGGATCTCTGCGCACTGAGTCTGCTGAACGTGCGCTCTGTGACCGCCCTGGGCTTGTAAGTCCGCACCTGCCTCCCCGCTGCGGTCCAGGAGACCCCGGCCTCGGGCCCCGCCCCTTCGGGGAGCGCCCTGCTCAGGCCACGCCCCCGATCTCGCGAGAACTGGGAAGTGGAATATGGCGCCGACGTGAGCGCGAGCTCGCATCGCGAAGAGGGTAGCCGCTGCTCAGCCGGAGCCCCTGGAGCCGCGTGAACAAGCGGCCGAGCTGAGTCAAGGATGGTGAGCGCGGCAGTGGGGGCGCGGGCGCGGCGGAGCAGATGGGACTGGCGGGGAGAGTCCCTGTCGCGCACACACCCTCCGACCGACCCCGCCCCCACATCCGGGTATCCTCCCGGTGACGCCTGTCACTCGGCGAGCCCCTTACCCCTACTTCCGGGACAGGCTTCGACTGGGCCACGCCCACTAAGGCTCAGACCCCGCCCCTAAGCCTTACACATCCGGGCCCCTAGCACCTCCAAGTTGGTCTGCACAGCAGAACCCGGCGCGTATATCTCTGTCCTCAAACAATCCCTTTCTGGCTCCTCCAGCATCTTAACTGCGCACCCCGCTTTAATAGGCTTAACCCTCATGGCTCACTCTAGACCACGCCCCTGCCCAAATTGGGGACAAGGGGATACTTCTCTCATATAAATAATTCTGGATGGGTAACCCCTCCTGCATTTGCAACTTAGGAGGCAGGAGCTCAACCCACTCTCACCTTCCTGTTGTCTCTTGCTGGTGACCCCTTAGGATGGGGGCTGGCTGGGTGATGTCTTGGGGGGAGGGAATTGAGGAATTGAGCCCAGTGGTCCTAGCAGGGTGGGGGGGGGGTGCTCCCTGGCTGGTCCAGGCAGATCCTGAATCCAGAGGGGTTCTCTCCTCCTCTTTCTTCCACCAGGAGGAGGAACCCTCGGGGCCCAGACCGGACATGCCGGCCACTGCAGAGCCCAGCTCCATTGAGACCAACAAGGAGGTGTTGTCCCCAGTTGTGGCTGCTACAGCCTCTTCCTCCTCCGTGGGGGAGGAGCCAGGCCCTGACCGGGAAGCCACACCCTCAGTGTGGGAACGTGGAGGACCTGGAGGGACACAACAGGGTGCCTCCTCAGCCCCAGACAGCTGCCAGCCTGGCCCTGGACCCAGCCTGGGCCCAACCAGCACAGTCTCCGGGACCAGCGAGGACCTGCGGCCTCCCAGACGACGCCCACCACCAGGTGACCTGTGATGGGCCTTTCTGGGGAGTCACAGGCACTGGAACAGTAGGAATTAGGAGTGCAAAGTATCTCCAAGTTCAGGGCTTATCTATAGGGATGTCATTCACCATTTTCTGCGCACCGAGTGTATGCCAGGCTGTGGCTCCAGTAATGAACCTGGCCAATCCAGTCTCTGCTCTTTGGCAGCTCAGTCTGTTGGCAGAGAATAAAGACCCCAGTATGGCACAGCCCTGAGGAAGGGCAGCAGAATTGATAGGGAAGGGACTGGTGACCCCTGTTCTGTGTATCCTGCAGGGAAGCAAATACCCTGCTCCAGCCCTGGCTGCTGCCTCAGTTTCCCCAGCGTTCGTGACCTGGCACAGCATCTTCGTACCCACTGCCCACCCACACAATCCCTGGAAGGTAGGGCCAGGGTTGTGGTAAGGAGGCAGGTTAGGGTGGGAGGCAGGCAGAACCTCCCAGGGCCAGCCTTGGCCACCCCACCCCATTCTGTCCTGCATCCCTCCCAGGCAAGCTCTTTCGCTGCTCAGCCCTGAGCTGCACCGAGACCTTCCCCAGCATGCAGGAACTAGTGGCACACGGCAAGCTGCATTACAAGCCCAATCGCTACTTCAAGTGAGACTCCCTTCCTTGTCGAGGGGGTTGGGTCTGGAGGTGGGCGTGGCCTCGGGCAATCTCCTCCCATACCCAACCGTAAGAGAGACTTGTACCTTGAGCAAGTCGCAGGGACCCCAAGGGCATAGCTTGGAAGGGGTGGGCATACCTGGGTGTGGCTCCGTCCAGCCCACTTTACCTCCAAAGTGGAAAACCGTCCACCTAAGACAAAAGTGAGACTTCATCCCTTGTTTTCCCAGGGCTCTGGGAAAGAAGAGAGGGGTCCAGAAGGGTCGTAGCCACGGGGGGCGTGGGGGCGCTTAGAGCAAGCTCCTTCTCCGCAGGTGGGGGACCTGCCATCCGCAATTTGGGCCCAGTCTCCCTTCCCGCGCCCGCAGGGCAGATCCTCAGGTGTCACTAGATGGGCCTCTCCCTAATCGCCCAGGAGACCCAGCCCAGCCCTGTGCCCGCCCCCAGGTGTGAGAACTGCCTTCTGCGCTTCCGCACGCACCGCTCGCTCTTCAAGCATCTGCATGTTTGCGCGGAGCATGCGCAGAGCCCAGCCCCGCCGCCACCCCCTGCCCTCGACAAGGAGCCACCCGCGCCCGAGCGCCCCCCGGAGTCCGACCCTGCGTCGGCGCCCGGCCTGCAGTTCCCGCTCCTCGAGCCTTTCACGACCCCCGCTCCTGCCCCCACCGGGCCCTTCCTGCCCTACTTAAACCCCGCGCCCTTTGGCCTAAGCCCGCCACGCCTGCGCCCCTTCCTGGCCGCCGTGCCCGGGCCGCCAGCCTCCAGCGCCGCGGTCTGGAAAAAGAGCCAAGGTGAGTGTGGGGGCGGGGCCGCCTGGAAGGGCGGGCTGGGCTCACCCTGACTCTGAGCTTGACCCGTCCCTTTATCGCAGGCGCTGGCAGCAGCCCGCGAAGACCCCAGGGCGGCTCCGACGCGCCCTCAGGTGCGTGCAGGTGACCACCGGGGGAGGGAAGGGAGGGGGCTTTCTTTCCCGCATCTTGCGGGGTCCAGTGGATACTGGGGGGCAGAAGTGCCCGCCCTCTTCCCAACTGGCCAAAAATGCCACCCGCGAAATACAGGATTTTGCCTTAAAAATTAACTGGCACGTGCACCTTCATCTGCGCCGGCGTTCATGTGTAAATTCGCGCCCGGCTCACCTGGGAGCGATCCCTCTGCCGGCCGTGGTTCCAGGGATGGAATAGGGGATGCAGATAAGCCAAGTTTAGTGCCCCTAATTGCAGGGGCAAATAGGCCCGGAGAAATGGATCCAGCCAGGTCCGACCCCGGCGCCCAGGAGCAGATGGGGAGGCGGGGAAAGGTCCGGCCCGCCCTCGTCCGCGTCCTGCATCCTTGACGGCCGGGTCCTCTGGGTTGGGGCCCGGGACTGATGGGGTCCCGCCTGCTCGCAGGGCACGCGGCCCCGAGCCGCATCGTGTGGGAGCACACGCGCGGCCGCTACTCGTGCATGCAGTGCGCCTTCTCCACGGCCTCGCGGCCCGCCATGACCCTGCACTTGGAGGACCACCGCCCCGGTGCTCCCGCGGTCCCGGCGCCCGGGCCGCCGCGCCCCGACGCCCCTGCGGGTAAGGCGGAGGAATGCGCGGGTGGAGAGGGCAGAGGGGCAGGAGGCGGGGGTCCGGGCCGAGGCTCAGGCGCCCCTTCCTCTGTCCCACCCAGACCCAGCCCCGCTTGCACCCAAGGTGTCGCCGCTGCTGTCGGAGGGGGAGCTTCCGGTTTACTCGCCGCTCTGAACTTCGCCGCCGCGTGGGGGGTGGGCCGTGGGGTATGAGTAGTTTTTTAATTTGGGGGGGGCAATAAAGGAGGTGCGATGAGCCAGCCTGTGCTGTTCTTGGGTCCCTTTCCCCTCCTGTGCGCAGTCGGCCAGCCTAGCAGTCCTGGTGCACACACCTTGGGAGGGGACCTTGAGGTCGCTCTGCAGGTGCAGGACCTGTCTCCTCACAACCCACCTGTGTCCCATCTCCCTTGTCACCCAATACTGGAACCCAGATCTCCAGCTCAAGGCCACCACATCCAGCTGTAGGCGGCCAATGTCCACTGTCCTGTCCCAGCACTTCCAGAAACCAGATGGGACAGAATTTCAGTTTTCTCTACAAAGTAGGCTGAGAGGCTGGTCCTGAGAACGTTCGGGGGCTGGCCTGGCTGGGCACCCCAGACCCTGAGGCCAGTGCTGATTCACAAGGGAGGAAGAAGCTTTCGGGGGTGGAGGAGTGGTACCAAGGCACCCAGGGCTGGGGAATCATCCTCCTCCTCCTCCTCTCTGTCCCCCAGACCCTCGTCTGCTGCCCGATTTTGCCCTGCCCCAGCTCTGAGGGGATGGCTGGGTCAAGGCCAGCGCTGGGGAGTCTGGGCTCCCTCCTCACCCTGCCCCATCTCGGTCCTCCAGCCACAGGGACCTCTTCCGCTCCGTCATGGGAAGTTTGACTAGGGTCATGGTTCAAAATCTGGTGCCATACTTGCTGCCCCAGCCCAGAGGGCGGCCGGCGGTGCCTCATGGGTACAGTTGGCAGCCACCCCTGGAAGCTGGTTTCACATCCTCCATCTTGCTTCCTTCTTTCCTCTTCTCACCAGCTCCATGGTCTCCTATTCCAGGCCTAGACTCTCCCCTTCCTGGGGCACCCACAGTAACCCTTCCTGCCTTCCCCCGAGTCTGAACACCACTGGCAACAGGGTCTCTTCTGATCATGCTCCTTCCCTGCCCAGTCCCCTTCAATGGCTCCCCACGGCCCTCTGGATGAAGACCCTGTTCTAGTAGCCCACAAGACCCCACCTCGAACCTCCCCATCCCCTCCTCTTCACCCACCTCGTCCTCATCCTTCTGGAAACACAGACATCCTGAGATCCCATTCCTCCTCCTCCTCCTCCTCCCCCGCCCCAGGCCTCCCTCTTGTTCTGAATCCACATCAGAGTTGTCCTCTATCACCTCTTCATCCTGGTATCTGCAGCCAAAGCAGTCACCCCCTGAGCAGAGTCCCCCAAACCCCAGCCCCCCCTGCCCCCCCATCTTGTCCCCCCCCCCCCCGTCACCATTGTTCCCCTTGTCCATCTCAGGCTCCGAAGCAAAGCCATCCAGGAGGACAAGCTAGGGCAGCAGCCCAAACACCTGCTCTCAGGAGCGCAGCTGTTGTGTCACCTTGCAGCTGGACGGTTTCAGGCTCTGCTGGCCTTTCACCTTATCCTTTAAGGGGCAGAAGGAGGATCTAGGTGCCCTTAGGACCCAGGCAGCCTGGACCCAGGGGCCCACCTGGGTGCCTGCCTGGCCCACCACCCACAGCCTCACCAGGGGCTTCAGGGCTGCATTGTCCTTGATAGGGCTCAGGCTGGGTGTCCTCTATGCCAGTACCTCAAGGCCACCATGGAAATGATTGTCACTCAGCACCAGCTGGGGGCCACACAGGCCATCAGGAGAGCCTGGAGCTCCAAGGTCCCCTGGGCTCCCCCCTTCTCAGCCAGAAACCTTGGAACCATGATGGTGTGACCCTGGGAAGACTCAACCTCCCTGCTCCTCTCTTTCCTAGTCCTTAAAATGGGTTGTCCTGATGCTCACCCTTTGGAGTCCTTCTGAGGATTAAAAAAGACTGGAGTGAGAGGGAGGGGCTTTGGAAATGTCTGCTGAGTGATTCACACCCCTCTGGCCACCAAGCCCATGACTGCCTGGGACCCTCAGGAACCTGGGGTGGAGGGGTGGGGCAGGGCCAGGAGGCCCATTTTACAGGTAGAAAAGGTGAGGCTACAAAGGTAAGCTGACTGAGCCTTGCCTGTAGCCAGGCCCAGTTCCAAGTCAGGGGTAACTCATGGATTCTGCATTGCCCTGGAAGCTAGGCACAGTTACCACAACTGGGAAAACCCTGGCAGCAGGCCCATGGGACACCCCTGTTCCTGCACTCCAAGCCCTCTAGACACACTTCAAGATCTGGCTCTAATGCCCACCTGTCCCTCATCTCCAGGGACCAGGCTATGTTCCCTGTCTCCCAGGACCCCAACCCACCTCCAGGGTACGAGGGGCCCCCGGGAGCCTCCTCCCCACCAAATCCTCATTCAGCCACCCCCAAATCCAGGCCATGCTACTTCCCAGTCTGTCAGCACTCTTCCAGAGAGACACAGAGCCAACACGTTGGTACAGGTGCCTCTCCCCCACCCCACTTCCCACGGAGATGGAACATCCCCTCCCATGGGTGCAGCAGGTCCACAGCCCCCACGCTGCCCTCTGGTGCAAGCTGAAACCCTGCCTGGAGGCGAAGGCAGCTGGGTCACATCCTGCCCTCCGCTGAGCACCCTGTCCACTCCAAAAACTACCTCCTCCCCTCCTCCACTGGGTAGCCTTATTGCCCCCAGAGCCTCTTCTGGGCTCCGCAGCCCCTGTCCTCCCTCTGGCCTAGCCGTGAACCCACAGCAGGTTCCTGGACTCCCGCTTCTAAGCAGAGTCCTCTTAGGGCCCCGGCCCCTCCCAGCAGGGGGCGCCCGGGAGCGTCAGTCTGAACCGGGCGAGCCCTGCCGGATTCCGGCGGGCGCCCCCCTGCGCAGCTGCCCCACCAGGCAGGTTGGACAGAGACCGCCGGCTCACGTGGAACAGGCTGAGCCGCTCCAGGCGGCTGAAGTCGCCGCCGGACAGTGGTTCTGCACTAGCCCCTGTCACCTACGGGTGCCGGTTCGGTTACCCTCACCCCGGGCTGGGAGAAGAGAGGTGGAACGCGTTCCCTGACCTCGCTCCTTCCCCCTACCGGAGCATCCCGATCCCGGGCTCTCGACTCCTCCGCGCGCTCCATCGCGCACCCATGTTCCCAGGCCTGGCCCCCTCCTCCCCAACCTTGCAGAGTTCCAGAGCCGCGCCCTAACGAACGCCCACTCCCCAAGGTGGGCCCTGGCCCGTGCCCGCTGCTCAGAGATTCCGGTTCCGCAGCTCTCATTGGAGCCGTCTGTCCATGTCCATGTCCACGCCGCGCCGCGCGGACCCCGGCCGGGAGCCGCCACGAAGACGCACAAAGGGTGGGGGCGGGAAGTGCCCCCTGGCGGCGGTGCTGGAAGCCTGAGCGCCGCCCCCGCTGGCGCCCCTGCAAACTGTGCGGAGCTCGGTGCCCGTGCTCTGGCTGGAGGATGCAGGTTCTGGGCTGAGGGTTGCCACACGGAGAGAAAGGCCCGGGAGCCTGGGAAGTCACCAGCTGTCATTCACTCCTTCAGCTTACCTTGACTGAGCGCCTACCATATGCCCTTGGCCAGTAATCACTGTTCTTTCATTCATTTTTTTCCCTCCCTCACCATGGTCCTGAAGACCTAGAGAAGACCTAGACCTCGTCATCCCTGCCCTCCTGGGACTCCTGTTCGGTGGGGGACCCACATCTGAGAACTGTGACCCAGGACGGCGACGCACAGGCACAGAGGCAGCAGGATCCTGAAGTTGTGCTCTTAAGGCAGACATAAAAACAAAGTAAAACGCCACATCCTCAAGACAAACGAGTCTCCCCTCCCAGCCCCGGCTGTATCCTTCTCCTTTAAATAAGCCCAAGAAAACTCATCCTGTTCGTTCCATGAGTTGTCTACGCTCTTGCTACTCCAAGTGTAGATCGACATCATCTGGGATGTGGTTCATCAACTGATCAATTGAGTCAGAACCTGCACTTTGTTGGGGGGGGGAGGGGTGGCAACTGGCAGGTACAGGGATCAAACCCTGGACCTTGGTGTTATCAGCACCAGTTCTGACTGAGCTAACCAGCCAGCCCCCTGCACTTTATAAAAGCCACACCCCAGACCAATTAAGTCAGCATCTCTGGGAGGTTCTGTCTTTTTGCAAACTGCTCTAGCATTTCCAGTGTGTGGCCAGAGAGAATCAGGGCTCTGTGCTCTCCTAGTAAGTGTTTTCTCTCTCTATCTACTGCAACTGAGATCACTGATCTCTGGGGACTGAGCCACCCTTACCTGGCCGGGCCTCCACACCCTATCTGACTGCCTTCACCTCCTCTTCCCCAGCCTCCCAGGCACCACCCTGTCTCGGTTTTCCTCCCACCTTCTTGTCTTCTGGTTTCTCTTCTCTCCACTACCTTCAACCTCAGGGAACTGGGGTGTCCTCAGACCCCCTCACTTTCTCATCGGCAAGGCCTTTGACACTGCCCCTCCACCCACCCCCAGATCTACCATCCCAGCTAAGCCGTCTGCCCTGGGTGTTAGCCCTGGCCGCCCAGGACCCGTGCGACGTGTACCCCCATAACAGGTAAGTTCTGCTCAGAGCTGGGAATCGGACTGCCAGCAACTGTTGAAATGAGGAAGGCAGATGAGGTAACAAGGGCAGGCAGATGGGGCCTCTCCCATACCAGCCCCCATGTCCTGGGTCTCCCGTCCTCTCCAGGAGCCTCCTAAGCCTCAGAGCTGACCCTTGTCTTCCCCAGGAGATCTCCCTCTCATGGCTCTCCAGTTCTGGAGAATGCGGCCTCAGCCTGCCTCTTTTTCCTGCCAGGACAGACACCAGGGCCTGGAACTTCCTGGCCTGCAATCTGGAGGTCAGGACACGAAAGTGGTGGGAGTAAGAGGGACAGCAGAGAGCCCAGAAACCAGTGACTGTGTAGGCAATGTGCTGATGCTCAATGCACTAAGCTCGGGGACGGTAGCAGGCAGGACAGGAACTTAAGAGGGATAGCAGGGCCCAGCGGGATCAGGGACAGGCTGGGGCTGTCCCCACCCCCTTTCCTTCCTCCTCTACCCTCCCCACCCTACCAGCAGCCCCCACCCTGTGTGCTGGCTCGTGGAGCAGAAGCCACAGTCACTTCCTGAAGGCAGAAGCCCCAGCTTGGGTCCCACTTGCCTTGTGGCCCCATCGCCTGCCTGCAGCCATGGTAAGTGGGAGGAAAGGTCTGCACTGGTTGGGAAGCAAGAGGCAAAGCAAGTGAAAATCCAAGGGCATGTTCCGAGAGCAGAGCAGCAGTGGGAGGCTGGGAAAGCAGTCCAGGAAGTGGGAATGGTCCATGCAAAGGCCCCGAGGTGGGAAGCAGCCAGGGCACACGTCCTCCAGGACAGCTGGGGCTCCTGGGGCTCAGGCTGGGCTGTGACTGCAAGCAGGACAGGTAGGACTGCCCAGAACAACTCCCCTTTTCCCAGGTCAGCATGAACAGCAACCTGGGAATAGGCAGCTGGGGTGTGAGCAGGGACTTCCTGTGGAGTGACAAAGTGGGTCATGCACCTGCTGTCCCCTTCCTCCCCCCGCCCCCCCTAGCACCTGAGTCATGACCTGCTAACCCTCTTATCTAGCCCTGTGGTCACCCGGGAGCCCTTGCCTTGAACCACCCAGGCTGGGGACTTTAACCAACGCATTTCAGGCCCCGAGCAGGAATCACTGCCTTTCCAAGGGGCACTGCTGATCCCCTGGTTCTCTGGATGGGGAAAGTGAGGCACAGACAGGGGCAAAGGCCACACACCTGTCCTTTCCCTCCCCCAATCTCTTCGACCACAGGTGAAGAAGCTAGGTTTGGGGGCCTGAGGCAGGGCCACCTCTGGGGACATTTGTAGGTCAGAGGAGCCTGGCCTACACCAGCCTCCAGGGTACCTGGGACACTCTGGGCTTGCTATAGATTATGCTTGTGCCCGATGCTGCTTGTGCTTGGGGTCCTGCCTGCTGGTCCTCATGGGTGCTGTTGACTGTGGCCAACTGTGGGCATCCCTGATCATCAGCCCGGGTGTCAGTGACTGTGTGAGACCCCATGCTCACATCTGCCTCCAGGCCTCTGAGTGTCTCTCTGCAAACATTTCTGTGTCTGTGATGGTCAGACTGAGTGTATGCCTGTCTTTGTGCCCCTGTATATTCTTTATTTCAGCAGATATTTACTGAGCACCTCCTATGTGCAGGCACTGAGAGGACAGCAGTAAAGGAGCCAAGTCTCTGCCCTGCAGGGGCTGGGGGAACTGCAGGGGTGGGGCAGGTATAGGCAGACAAAAAGCAAAGAACCCAGTCAAGACATTAAAAAACAACATAAGTACAATAGTATATGTGGTGACGGGTGGAAAGAGAAAAGTCGTGCAGGCTGGGCAGGATGGGGAGTATTGGGAAGGGGGAATTAATTTAAAATAGGGTGGTCTTGGAAGGCCTCTGTAATAAGGAAGATCTGAGGAGGAAGAGATACCACTACGGGTGGGGGGAAGTGTCCCAGGCGAGGGGCAGGGCAGAGGCCTTGAGGTGGAAGGGAGACAGCTTAAGCGGAAGTGGCTGGGGAGGGAAGCCTGAGTTCAGAGCCTTCCTGAGACCCTTAGCTTTTTTTTTTTTTTTTTTTTTTCCCTTTTTATCTTTTTTCGTGTCCGGCAACGGATCGCAACCCTCAGTGTCGCGCCCGTACCGGACCGGGACCGGCAACGGGATCGCAACCCTCGGTGTCGCGCCCACACCTTGCCCAGCCGGGAACTGGTCTGTATGTGGGATCCGAACCCTCGGCGGGAGCACCTCCACGCTCTCAAGCGGCGCACTGTAGCAATGCGCCACCGGGCCGGCCGAGACCCTTAGCTTTTACTGTGAGGAGATGGGAGCTGAGAAGCCACTGCAGGATTTGAGCACAGACAACAGGCTTCCTCCGGCTGTGGGGGAAACTGACCAGGGATAGGAGTAGGGAGGGGTGCGGCAGGCCAGGGAGGAGCCCATTACAAGAATCCAGGCGATGGGTGACGGTTCCTCCGATAGCCAGCGTGACAGTGATGGAGGCAGTGAGAAGTGGTTGGATTCCGGATGTATTTTGGAATTAGAACTAAAAGGACTGGGGACATGGCGGGGTTAAACAACCAGACAGTCAGGGTGTCCGGTGACCAGGGGGTGGAGGGCTATGGGAGCCACAGGCTGGGGGAGGAGTATCAGGCGCTCAGGTCCTGCAGGGGGTGCAGATTTGGAACCTAACTGGAGAAGTCAGGAGGGTGTAGCTGCCAGAGAGGGGGGCCGAGGGCTGAGGTCAGGGAAGAGGCGCCAGCAGACACGAGCCAGAGGGAAGGGGGTGTGTGTGTATGTCTGCGACCATGTCCATAGGTCCCCAGGTCCATCTCTCCAGGACCCTTCTGTATGTAAGAGCCCCTGCCTGACTGGCTCCATGTCCCCTAGGGAAGCCATCAGGACTTCCGGAGCCTCCAAGCAAAGTTCCAGGCCTCTCAGCCCGAGTCCAGTGAATTCCCCAAAAAACCTCCAAAGCCCGAGTTCAACAAACTCCTGAAGAAGTTTCCGCAGCCTGAGCTAAGTGAGCACCCCAAGAAGCCCCTGCAGCCCGAGTTTGCCGACCTCCCCAAGAAGCCCCTGCAGCCCGAGTTTGCCGACCTCCCCAAGAAGCCCCCGCAGCCCGAGTTCGCCGACCTCCCCAAGAAGCCCCCGCAGCCCGAGTTCGCCGACCTTCCCAAGAAGCCACCAAAGCCCGAGTTTGCCAACCTCCCCAAGAAGCCCCCGCAGCCCGAGTTCGCCGACCTCCCCAAGAAGCCGCTGAAGCCCGAGTTTGCCGACCTCCCCAAGAAGCCCCCGCAACCCGAGTTCACCGACTTCCCCAAGAAGTCCCTGCAGCCCGAGTTCACTGACTTCCCCAAAAAGCCCTCCAAACCTGAATTCAGTGAACTCTCCAAAAAGTTCCCACAGCTCGAGGCCACTCCATTTCCCAGGAGGTCCCCGCAGCCCGAAGTCAGTGAGGCCCCTCGGAAGGCCTCACTGCTGGAGCCCAGTACTCCTGCCCAGAAGCCCCTGCAGCCGGAGCTTAGCAACCCTGCCAAGGTCCCTTCAGAACCCCAATTCAGTGCATTCCCCAGGAAGTTCCAGCAGCCTGAGTCCAGTGAGGCCACCCTAAAACCCTCGCAGCCTGAGTTCAGTACCTTTTCAAAGAAGGCCCCCCCACAGCCTGAGTCCAATGTATACCCCAAAAAGCCCCCACAGCCTCAGGTCAGTGACCTCCCTAAGAAGTTCCTGCCACAGCCCGAGTTCAGTGAGACCCCTAAGATTCCCCCCTCAAAACCTGAGTCCAGTGAGTCCCATGCCCACTCCCCAAAGCCTGACTTCAGTACCTTTCACACAAAGTCCCCACAGCCTGAGTTCAATGGGAACCCCAGAAAGCTCCTGCAACCACAGGTTGGTGGCCTCCCTAAAAAGTTCCTGCCGCAGCCTGAGTTCAGTGAGGTCCCTCAGACCCCCACCTCAAAGCCTGAGTCCAGTGAGCCTCACCCCCACTCCCCCCAGCCCAATTTCACTTTATTTCCCAAAAAGGTCCCACAGCCTCAGCTGAGTGATCTCCCCAAGAAGCCCCTGCAGCCTGAGTTTGGTGACCTTACCAGGACATCCTCAGAGCCCGAAGTCAGCGTACTTGCAAAGAGGCCACGGCAGCCTGACTTCAAAGCACCCCCCAAGAAACCCCCGCAGCCTGAGCTGGGCGGCCTCCCCAGGACGTCCTCGGAGCCCGAGTTCAACTTGCTCCCCAGGAAGTTTCTGCAGCTCGAGCACCGAGGGCCACCCCGAAAGTTCTCACAGCCTGAGACCACTGCTCTGCCCAAGAAGCACCCGCAACCTGAGTTTTTCAGTGATCTCCCCAGAAAGCCCCCACTCCCTGGCTCAGTTTCAGAGAGTTCACTACCCACTGCCGTTGCAAGCTCTAGCCCCAGGTTCCCACTCAGCCCTGGGTTTGGAGTTGCTGGGACACACCGCCGGAGGTCAGGTGGTCTCGCTCACAGCGGAGGGTCATTAGGCCTCATAGCTGGCCATCCACCCCAGCGCAGGCCTCTACCCCCTGCCAGCAGCTTGGGACCCCCTCCAGCCAAGCCCCCGCTGCCCCCAGGCCCTGTGGATGTTCAGAGCTTTCGGAGATCCTTTGCAGCAGCCACAGGTGGGTCAGGGAGGGCAGCACAGGCAAAGGAGGAGGGGGTGAGACTCCCAGGCAGTGCCAGCTTTCCTCCCACTCTCTCTCCCTCACAGCTGTGCGGAGGACCCGCTCTTCTGCTGGAATCCTCTTCCAGGCCCGACAGCGTGAAGCCATCCTGCAGTGAGTGTGGGGAGTAAGGGGGGACAGGCACAAGTTGTGGGGCTGAAAGAGGCCCTCATCTCAGCTGTCCCTGCAGGGACCCGGATGAGATCTATGACGACGTGGAGCCCACAGACTCCAGCCCCGGCCCCATGGGCAGAGGTTTGTTGGCGGCCTGCCCAGGTACCTGCGACACACTCATTGCAAGGGCATTTTCTGCCAAGCTCCTGGTGTTAAGGCCAAGCTACAATCCAGGTCATGCTGGCTCCTGATGGGCAGAACCATGTGAGGACAGGGAGACCAGAGGCCACCAGCCAGTGAGAAAGCTGTGCTAGGCAGGAAGCATGGAGAGCAGGGGAAGGATCGAGATCAGCAGCAGCAAGCAGGACTTGGTGTGTGAAGCAGGGCTGAGTGAACGAGCTCACAATGCAGACAGAGTCCCAAGTTTCGAGCCTAGCGTCTGGGTGCACAATGGAGCCACCCCTGCGCTGGGGACATGATACCAGATACTATTTTAGACCTTTTGTGTTCGAGGTAGTCGAGGGATGACCAGAACCTGGGCCTGGAACTCAGGAGAGAGGCATGGGCTAGAGGCAGGTGTGACGAGGTGGGAGATGGGGCGCCCTCCCCGTCTGTGGTCCCAGGCAGCTCTCCCTCTCTGTCCAGGCTGCCACGCAGTCCTGTCTGCTCTGGGGTTCCAAAAGACCTTCCTCTTCTTTATTCCAAGTCTCTGTTCCTGGAGGACAGATGAAGGCCGAGTAGGCCTGTGCCTACAGCCCAGCTCAAGTTAGTGTATTTATGAAAACAAAGTTTCAACGCAAGCACTTCCCACGCATGCATGTAACTGAATCTGCACCCCATAGCCATGAGGGTGGATGCTCGCCAAGGCATCCACCCCTGTTTTACAGAGGTGGAGTTCTGAGGATCTGGGAAGGGGCCTGGCCCAGTTCATGCAGCCCGTTCACAGAGATGCAGGGGCTCCAGCTGGGCCCTATCCATGGGAACAGCTCCTGGCAGGGGAACCTGAGCTCTGGAGTTTTGCCTTCAGGACACTACTGCTCTTCCCCGACCAGTCCCGGGTCCTGGACATGGCTACGTCCTCAATTCTGCAGCTATTGCTGCTTCCTGGGCCCCTTCTGCTTCTCCTGCGCTTTCCCCAGGAGCTGCTTGCAACACCTCCTTGTTAGCACACAGCTTCCTGGCAGGGCCCCTCCTGCTTCCCCTCCAGTGGGGGCTGCTCTTCAGTTTGGGTCTGGGGGCCACTCTTGGGGACATGGATGGTCGGGAGGGGGGCTAAGAGTCCCAGACTAGTCACAGCACGTCTCTGGCCATTTTGCTTCCAGCAGCCCTGTAGGTATGCCCCAGCCCTTCTAAAGTTAGGAAGGGCTCTCCTTCCCAAACCCAGACATACTAGGCACATCCCTCCACTCCCATTGCTAAACAACTTTCTCCCCATTCCTTGCCATTCTTCAAGACTCTGCTCAAATAGCACACTTCCCTAGATCTCTCCCTTCTCAAGAGACTGTGTGGGCCTCACTGTTGTGACAGACTGTCTCAAAGGCTGCTGTGCCCTTTTCAAGTCTGTCCTCCCTCCTACTCTCCACCTCAGTGGGAGCAGTGGCAGCCCTACTCCAAAGGTTTCCAGGCAGCTGGGGGCAAGGTCCAGCCTTTCCCAGGATCTGAGCAGGCCACGTGGGAAAGGCAGGCTCTGAGAGTGGCCTGCTCAGGGTCACACTGCCAGGTGAGCCAGGTCTACCTGCACAAAAGCAACCAAGGATGCCTATGCGGCAGTGGGTCTGTGGAGAAGGCCACGCGGTGCCAAAGTCAAGATTGCTCCTGGCTAGGTGACCACTCCCTGGCCAGGGCAGCCTTTGAGAGGCAGGAGCAGATGGAGGGAACTTCGTGCTGAGCGGGACTGTGAATGGCACTGGTCATCTAAGGATCAGGCCAAGCTCAGCGTCTGCAGGGTGGGCGGATAAAGGGAAAAAGGCCCACAATGTCCAGAGTGATGCTTCAAGGCTGAAGAGAACGAGCTGGGACTTCAGGTTATGGATCCTTCACTCACCTGGGGTTCCTGAGGCCCCCGCTGTAAGCCAGACCCTTGGCCAGCAGGGCTTGTACCTGGAAGCCTGGTCGTTTGCCAGGAAGTGGCACAGGTCAGCCCTCACTCTGGGAAACCCTGTGTCCAGAGTCTCATCAGGCCAGTCCAAGAACCCTAGCCCAGAAGCCCCTTCTCTGAGGCAGAATTCAGTTGCCTCTAGGGAATGCTTTCCTGTGCCTTATTTCTTGACCGAAATCTCATTACAATTCCCAGAACCCAACCTGCTCTAGGAGGCAGAAGTAAAATGGCCTCAAAAGCCTACAAATAAATCCTGCCTCTACCACTTACTAGCTGGGTGTCCTTGGGCAGGTTGCTCTGACCTCTGAGCCTTTACTTTCTCACTGGCAAGTTGGGAATGATGGTATCACCTACTTGCATAAAGAAACTGGCTATGGAGGTTGGAACAAGTATGTGGCAGGAGTTAAGGAAATGAAATCACTAGGAAGGCTTGAGAAGGTGGGCAGGGTGGGGTTTGGGAGGGGACCTGGTCAGATTTGCAGAGGTCCTGAGAATTGATGTAGGGAGGGTTCATTCAAGATGGAGCCACCAGGATAAAAAGGCTAGGCCAAACGTCCCTACCATCTGATCTCCCCAGATGAAGTGCCAGTGTCTACCCAGCAAGCCACCAAGCCACTGTCACCAGACTCAGAACTCAGGTACCAAGGGACAGAGGGGGCAGGACAGGGTAGGGCTGAGCTCTGGGAACAGTGGAAAACATCTTGCTCATGAGCACTCCAATTCCTTGGGGGCACCAGGAAGAAGGTCCCCCAGCCACAGGAGCTGCCACTGCCCACGGACCCGAAGTTGCTGAAGCAGATGAGGAAAGCAGAGAAAGCAGAGAGGGAGTTCAGGAAGAAGTTCAAGGTGTGGACACCAAGCCAAGCAAGAGCCCTGGGAGGGCTGGGACCAGGGCCCCCCGACTACCATCCTTGGAAAGAAGGTGGGGTGCCCAGGTTGACAGCACAAGCAAAAGTTCTAAAATCTCATCCCACAGTTTGAAGGGGAAATTGTGGTCCACACAAAGATGATGATCGACCCCAATGCCAAGACCCGTCGCGGGGGTGGCAAGCACCTGGGGATCCGGCGTGGGGAGATCCTGAATCTCATCCCACAGTTTGAAGGGGAAATTGTGGTCCACACAAAGATGATGATCGACCCCAACGCCAAGACCCGTCGCGGGGGTGGCAAGCACCTGGGGATCCGGCGTGGGGAGATCCTAGAGGTGATTGAGTTCACCAGCAAGGAAGAGATGCTGTGCCGGGACCCCAAGGGCAAGTGTGAGTGAGCCTAGCCCCATAGCCATGAGGAAGCCACCCTGGTTCCTGGGGCTGAGAACTCACCCATGTGTGCTCTCTTTGCAGATGGCTATGTGCCCAGAACCGCTCTCCTGCCCCTGTGAGTGCTGGCCCTGATCGGGTGGGGGACTGGGTGCGTGGGGGACCATGGGCCAGGGTTGCCCTTGCTGACTTAACTGTGTTCTCTGCCAGGGAAACGGAAGTGTATGACGATGTCGACATTGGCTTCTGGGGTACGTAGACACTCTGGGCAGGCTGAAGGGACCACAGTGACTCCTCAGGGGGACTGCTGGCTGTCATACTTCTGAGGAGAGGGGTCACTGGAAGTCACCCTTCCTTGGCAGACCCTCTGGAGAACCAACCACTCCCCCGGGGACGGTAAGGCCTGCAGGTGTGGTGGCCCAGGATAGCTGCCAGTCCAGCACCCACTAACCGAGGAGCCCTGGATCCCAGCTGGGCAGAGCTTCCCAGGCTCACATCTACCACATAAAGCCCCTCTTTAAAGCAATCCCTGCTTCTTGTCTTTTCTTTCCCTCTTGATGGGCAACGGCACAGGAAACCACCTGATCAAACACTGGGTGTGTGTCAGTGGGGTCACTCCCAGGGATAGAGGCAAAGAAGAAGAAAAGTGTGTCAAGGAGAGGCTGGTGAGGGAGGAGGTGAGGTGCGACCCCAGCCCCACACCATCTACCAGCCAGAGCGGGGAGGGAGCTGCTGGGTAGGATGCACCCCACACGAAGCAGCTGGGGATGCTCACAGGCTGCAATGCCTGTGACACCCGAATAGATCTGTCGGAGCACTTGGGGATGGGGGAAACCACAGGGCACCCAATTCTGACAGAGCCTGGGTATCAAGTTCATCCTAAACCTCTGACAGTACCAAATATGCTCAGAAACGGTCACACTGCTCAGTCTGTTTTAGCAGAGAAAAGCCGAACTGAAGTGAGCCTGACACAGTGCCTATGGCCCACAGAATAATGTCACAAGAGGGAGATGGGGCAGCTTTCAGGACAGCTCGAAACAGCTACTCCATCATCAGCACTGAGAATGAAAGACCACTCTGAATGCAGTGCCTAAAGAAGGGTTTTCCTGCCATTTCCTCCCACACCCAGGGCCCACAGACAACCACCAACAGTGATGATTCCCCAACGTCCCTTGTGGCCATGGCCCCCAGGGAAGAAGGAAGCCTAAATGGCTCCAGCTCCCAAGCCTCGGACGGTTGCCCCCACAACACACACGCAAAAGCGAGCCGCTTTCAGGAACTGATATTTATTATCAAAGTCATATTTGATGTCAACAAGATGCCACAACTACAAAAAAAATTGCGCACATTGCAATCTCAATGCAAACAGTCAAATGGAACCCCAGTCATTAAAAAAGTAATTCAAATTACCCCAAAAAGCAACTGAATTTTTTAAACATCTTTATACATCCAGCCAACAAATTAAAATGGTTAACAAGAAAAAATACAAATTCAGAAGTCTGGTATCGATGTTTAAAAAAGGCAACTGCTTAAGCATTTCTATCAATTCGAACATCAATCTCTCGGCCACTCAGCTTCATGCCATTCATCATCCGGCAGGCTCGCTCAGCCACCTCTGGCGACTCAAACTTAACCACACCGCACCCCTTGGACTTCCCGTTCTCCATCTTGATGTCGGCGTACAGCACGTGGCCTGGCACAGGGAGGGAAGAAGAGACCACACTCATCAGGCAAACCCAGAGCTCAGCCTGTCTGGCCTCCACTCAGTCCAGATCACCTGTTGGTTTTCGGTTGACAGAATCAAAAAGGAGAGAGGCCCTCGTGCCTGGAGCATGAGTGCTCAGAACATAACGGCCAGAACCAGGGACTACAGCCCCAGGGCCACCTTGCCATTCTTCTGCTAACAGTACAACAGTCTGACCATGCCCCAGAAGAAGCCTTCTTGGCAGTTTCAAATGCATGCTTTTACACTCCAGAAAGTTCAAGAAAGAAGGGGCCACGCAGAGCCAATTTTATAGGCAAATTTTGCAGAGGCTTCCTTTCTGATACATCACCCCACCCAGTTACAAAGCCATCGCCAATCCAAGTGACACTTCTGTACTGTCCAAAAGGAAACGATGTAACAGGCAGGTTACACTTATTCATTCAAGCACCTGCTAAGCATCCAGGTATGTGTCAAGCATTGTGGAAACAGGTCTAAGCCCTAGAAGCCAAGGGTTCTACTTCCATGAGTGCCAAGACATTACAGTGCAGTCGGTGCCAGGGGCCTACAATCCTGGAGTCACTAACTGCCTGGGAGGGGGTTGACATCCTCATGGGAAAGTTCTAGAAAAACTTACGTAAGTAGAATTTCACCAGAAAAAAGACTTGCTGCTAAGAGGTTAAACCAAAGCATTTTGGTGATTTGTAGCACCTGTAGCTCAAGTTCAAAAGACATGACGGAAATAAAGGAGGATGATGGGACCAAGTCTTCAAGGGCTGTGAGTTTGGACTTTTCTCTTGTAGGTAGAAAGGCCCCTCCAGGCACTTCAGAGGCAGAGGAGTGGTGTGATCCAATTTGACTTTTTGGAATATCTAGCTACAATGTGGGAACCGAGGAGTGGGGAAGGAGAGACAGGACAGGGTAAGAAGGTAGGCTATGACTCAACAGCTTACACCAAGAGAAGAACCAAGGAGCAGCAGCAACAGTGGTGAAATCGGAGCCACTGCTAAAACAGGAAATGAGAAATGAGGCAACCCTGATCCGGCAGCCACCCGGACCTCTGGCTTAGGGCCCATATGGCTGAATAGAACAGAAGTTGTGGGAAGAGGGCTGGGGCTCACCCGGAGGGCGGGGAAAGAAGACAACTTAAGCTCCTTCCAAACGGGCTGCCCAGTGTGCCAGAAAAACTGCCATCAGAGACCTTGCACTGGCCATACCATGGGGGACAGGGACCTCGTCTTGGATGTATTTACTTAACTTTGCCATTTAGAAGCCACATAACCTTAGGAAGGTGACTGTGCCTGACTCATCTGTAAAACAGGGACAACACTAACTCCTTTAAAAAACTCTAAAAGGAGGGCCGGCCCATGGCTCACTCGGGAGAGTGTGGTGCTGATAACACCAAGACCACGGGTTCAGATCCTATATAGGGATGGCCAGTTAGCTCACTTGCTGAGCATGGTGCTGACACCACCAGGCCAAGTGTTAAGATCCCCTTACCAGCCATCTTGGGAAAAAAAAAAAAAAAAACTCTAAAAGGAAGAAAAAAAGCTAAGGATGAAATGAGGACAAAGGTGCAAATTGTCTGACACATAACAGGATACTCAACAACCAGCTTGAACACCTACATAGGCAGAAATATGGCAAGGCCCATAGTCCTCTGCAGTTGATGGAAAGTGGCTGTGAAGACTAGGAAGGAAGCTTCGCTGCTCAACTTAACTGTAACACCAACAAGCCACAACACATGAAAGCACCTAGACAGCCTTTCACAGACACTTACCACATTCGTTGAATTTGTCCTTTAGCATCTTCCATGTAAAATCAAATGGGAGCTGGGGGGGTGAAAGGAAAACTGATGTGTTATTCAACCAAATCCTAATGCAAACATTTGTCTCTGAAAGTGACTTTAAGGATTTCTTATTATACAGAGAAGCTGGCTGACCTTCAAACTGACACCATCAGCAGAGAACAAACAAGTCTATCTGGAATGAGGTTCTAACATGGCACAGCCAGTTCACTGCCTGTGGTTCTATCTGTGCAGAACCATGCAGAGAATTGAACATGTGGGCCCGTGGTGGGCGGCCCACAGATCTATGCAAATAGTGGCTGAATATGACCAGACTAGTAAAGATCATTCAGTTACAATCTGTGGGCTCTTCAAGCCAATGGATCAGAAACTAGAACTCTCCAGTTCTCACAGTATGCTCTATCATCTAGCACACCAGAGAAACCCAGGTGCTCTCAGAACCCACTGTTCCTGCTGTATAAATGCTATATGTCCTCACATTCCATTGTCACCCCACCAGCACCAAACTTTGGGGACAGGAACAAGGTGTGCTCTCCAGGCTACTTGGCTACCCTTTGGAGGGCATCACCTTTGACTCTGACCTGCCACCATGCACCACTGATCTCCGCCTCCCTACTCCCCTCATGCGTAACACTGAGAAGTTCCTGAAGTGCCACTTACATTTCTCACAAATATCTGGCAGGCCTTCCTGGCAACCCCAGGAGCATGGCCTCCAGCTCCACCAAAGGAACCTGCGAAGCTTCCTCCAAAGTTGCCACGCTCCATCTCGATGGCGCGGTCAAAGCTGGCACCACCACCGCCACCCATGGCCAGGCCCATGCGCTCAATGCCGGCGCCCAAGGCCGGACCCATGGCAGGGCCCATGCGCTCCAGGCTGTTGGCGCCCATTCGCTCCAGGCCCATGCGCTCGAGACTGTTGGCACCCATGCGCTCCAGGCCCATGCGCTCCAGGTTGTTGGCGCCCATGCGCTCCAGGCCGGTGGCCATGCGATCCATCACAGGGCCCATGCGCTCCAGGCCAGCCCCCATGCCTGCGGGCACCATGCGCTCCATGCTCAGGCCCATGCGCTCGATGGCAGGGCCCATGCGCTCGACACCAGAGCCCATGCGCTCAATGGTCTGGCCCACACGGTCGATGGGCGCGGCCATGCGCTCAAGGCCGAAGCCCATGCCGGCACCCATGCGCTCCACGCCAGAGCCAATGCGCTCCATGGTTTGGCCCATGCGCTCGATGCTGGAGGCCATGTGGTCGAGGCCCAGCGGGCCCATGCGCTCAATGCCAGAGCCCATGCGCTCAACGGAGCCCATGCGGTCCATGACTAGGCCCATGCGCTCTATCTCGGAGCCCACACGATCCATGCCGTGGCCCAGGCCTGCACCCATGCGCTCCATGCCGGCACCCCCAATGCGGTCAATGCCGGGGCCCATCCTCTCAATCCCAGGGACACTGCCTCCGCCTCCACCTGCAACAGGGACATAAAACACAGGCAATGTCAGGGCCTTGTGCATGTGCACGCACGCCATGTCCAACCAGGGCACTTCAGTTCACAAACTCAACCCCAGATTGGTAATTAAGTAAGCCCCACAATAATTTGCCATTATAAGACACCCCTCAGAATGGACAACTGTTAAAACTAGTTAGTGAGTACATGGGGACCTTACATTATTCTTCCTACTCTGTGACACAGTTGAAATTTCCACAATAAAATATTAAAAGAAAAAAATCTCACCTCCACATTACTTTGGAGGTGCTAGTATCTGTGACAAGCTTTCTGAGCCACAGACTTCAATTCCTGAAACCTCTGCAGTTTCTCTACCACCAAACTTCAAGAAATGCCCTCAGGGGGGCAGGCACAGAAACCCCACACTCAGGGGAACACTCAGTGTAATGGATAGGACTTATGTGGAGACAATTCAAGGTCACTCACAACCTTTACCCTCTCCCAACCTGTCCCTTTTAGTTGCCCTCCTGGTGGCCAGTCTGGTTGCATTTCCTTAGCACTTCCAGGGCACAGAAA